AACTATTTTCAACGTTTCTGGAACGTTTACAATCGTTCTATAATCGAACCAATATTCGAATTTTATGTTCGAATTTAATTCGAACAAATTCAAACAAAACATTCGAAATAGAAAGCCACTTTCAACCAATTTCAGCCTCATATCTCCCGTACCCTTATAGCTATCAAGACGCAACCACCCCTATGCACGAATGGAGACTTGGGGCTACCACCACATACAAACACCATTCATGTGGGATGTGTAGTTTTTGTGGAAAAGTGAAATATAGGGACACACACGTCCATTTTTATATATATATATATATATATAGATAGATGGTGCTAGCAGCGCATGCGTGGAAATGCTACCGCATTGTCGATACATCGTATCATTGGTAGCATTTCCGCGCATTGGCCGCATTTGCAAAGGAACTACCGTTTGCAACGCGGTAGTTCCTTTGCAAATGCAGGATGTTCCAAAGGAACATCCTGCACGTTTGTTTTGTTAAAACTTGTTCTTTTCATCTGAAGACGACGGTTATACACTCGTCGAAAGTGCTTGTGTTAATACTAAAGGAACTTTATTAACGCTGAACTCAGTGAATTTGTATCCAGAAACTATATCTGTATATGATTTAATATAATGTATATGATATTTATATATATGATTTTTGATAATGTTATTTATGTAATTGATTTAATTATTTATGTATATGATTTTTATAATGTGGGACCTATTTGCATTCCAGTATGATATCATTTTGCAATATATTCAGAGCATTTCATGTGCAAGGATGTCTTGTATAGATTTTTCTACATCTATAGAGATCCATCAATAACATATTTATTAGATAATATATATAATATCAATTCAATATTTAACATTAAATTTATTACACTTAAAGTAACAAAGTGCTGAATTTTTATTTTTATATATTTTTAGGATGGTGTGATATTTGTCTTGAGTGGTTGTAGAGCTGAAACAACTTATGAAAGAATCTAGCAAAACATTACTTGAAAAGAAACCATGTGCCTATATACATATGTATTTTCTAGTTGGATCCAATCTCGCGTCTCAGGATGAATGATTTACATAGACTTGTACATAATGAATGAATGAAGATACTAGCATAAATGTTCCCAATATTTGAAAATTAACTATAAATCAGTTGGAATTTTTTGTGAACATTCAATGATTCTTTTTTTTTTAATAGTAATTTGCTATGCACGGATCAGATCTGTTTTAAGGAATATCATTGTCCAATGTGGAACCAACTTTCAGATTCAAAAAGTTTGCTTTGATGATTTTTTCAACCAAAAACAAAGCAAAGTTTTGTAAGACACTTTGATAAAAAGCTCTCTCATTTTTATTATCAATGCTAAAATGGTAAGGTAACTTTTTACTGTGATATTACTTATTGCTTTCATTAACTGCATTATTACTAAAAATGTATAGTCTTTGTTATTGATATTCGGATATATTTTAAAATATTTGTTTTCTGTAAATTTTTTAAAATAATTAATCTTAGCAATATCAGAAGTTCCAGTAAACACTGAATACTGTTTCCATATATCACAATAATAATTTAGGGAAGTCATTTCAAAAAATCTCAACATATCTTTTAAAGTTCTTACGAATTTTGGACACATTAAAATTTTCGTAACCTACTACCTACCTTTTATTCTTTAAGATGTCTACTCCCAACTTTGTTATCAATCATTGTTTAAATTCCATTGGACCTGATGGTATTGCTATATTTTAATATTTATTTATAGAAATATATGAATGTTTACGGAAAAGCATTGCATTTATTTTTATTTTGGTAACTCAATATTGTCTTTAAAAAAATTAAAAGATTTATGAGACAGTATTTGATGTTTCATTTCATAATTTTCTTAAGTTTTGAAAATCATTTTTAACTCTCTTATTAGATAAAGATATTTTAATACAATAATGTGCATTTGACTGTAAAATCTTAAGGAACTTGCAAAAAAAGGGAAGGACAATTACAAATGATATTAGATGAATGCAAAAGAAGTCTGGAAAATAGTTCAAACTGTTTTGGGATAATCAGTCATCTGTTGTTAGACTATGATCTAATTTACCTTCAATACAGTGATTGCATTACAGTATTTATTGTTCAAGAAAGTTAACAATCACTGAGCATTTAATTTGTACCCAAAATACAAATGGAGTCTCTGGATAAACAAGTTTTCACTGTATTTCATACTTATAAATTTATTAAATTCAGCAAGCAGGTAAAATAATATAAATTGTCAAAGAATTTTTAGCCAAAACATCTTGAAAATTGTCTATGATTGTAAGGGGAAATTTCACAAGTTCATTTTTTTAAAATCTATCTATCCACCTTTAAATAAAAATACAGTAGAGCGTCGTTTATCCAAAAGTCAATTATCTGAAAGAATTCCAGTCGGCAAATTTAAATTTTCGCCAGTGCTGTGGAGCTGCAATCTTTGGCTATGTATTGGGCTACCCAAATATTTTACGTTTTTGATACTAAATTAACTTTTGAAGTATAATTTTTTATTGTTTTTATACAATATATTTATTTTGTTTGTACACAATAAAAAAAAAGTTTTTAACAATACAATAGTCTTTTTTAGGCTTAACATCAATGAAAATTCAACGCAAAGCAACACGCAACGGAGAAAAATTTCAAAATGTGATAGGTTAATATATTTTTTCATATATAATCGGTTATCCGAAATATCGATTTTCCAAACAACCCCAGTCCCCAATTGATTCAGATAAACAATGCTCTACTGTAATTCTTTATACATTGAGAAATAATTTAATGAGTTTTGTAAATTACTATGTTCAATCCATCCAGTTATATCCGATGGTTCTTTGTCTATAAAATTTAATCTGTGAATTTTTTGGTAGCAATTGATCTTTTGCTGATAATTGATGTTTTTTACCAATCTATAGCCCAAGATTTCTCTTGAAAAATTAATTTTGTGATCTGAAATAATTCCATTAAAAAATTATTCATATGAAAAATTAATTTTGTGATCAGTGCTACCCAAACCACTACTACTACTATTTACAACATAGACTTCTATGCACGTGTTTTTTCCCATGAGTTTTAATACAATTTGTTTCCAAGAGCAGCCAGTATGTCATCATCAGATGCATGGCCGACTGACTGACAGAGATTTTCCTCCTCGTGTGTGGTCAATAGAAAATTCTGAATTTTCTTTAGGCCTTAACGTGTGTGGCCCCCTTGCATGGACAGTGACTGTATAGGTATGAAAGAACAACTTTTCAGTGTTCCTGGTCTGAAAAAGTACAGTACTTCAAATTGCTAAAGAAAAGAATAAAATAATGGCACATTGTTGCATAGTCATTCTTTTTACTACACTGAAAATAAAGCTATATCACTATTTCACTTGCCAAAGTTATCTGATTTCAAACTAATATTCTCTGTTGAAATGGAAGAGAACAATGTCAAGTTGTGGGAAATTTATATGATTACTATAAAATATCTAATACCTAAGGCCTTTGATTTTGCTGAGTTGAAAAAAAATTGCTGGCTTTTTAAAAGTAATTTGTGGTTTGTATTTATAAACAGTGTAGCATTTGAATGCAGTTTGTGCCACTGATCAAATGTTAATATTTTTTGAAATAGACCAAAAAGTGCTTAGCAAAACACATTCAAGCATCAATATACCCAATATGTCTACTAAGTATTAGAAAATGATGTTTTATAGCAAGTACTGATTGCACAACTGACTATTGGCTAAAGTACTATTGGCAACTGACATATTTTGTTACAGGCATGTCTCGTTAAATGCGCCATTTTTCAAAGATTGGTGAAATTATTTTTGTGCTATGCATAGTTGAATGTGACTGGGTAAAGTATTGTCGTGGATTATGAGTATTGTCACTCATTGCTTTGTGCTCCATAAAGTTCTTCTGTAAAGTTGCTAACACTGATGCAAAGAATTGAATTTGCAGACTACTGTGATGAAGCACTATCATAATCACACCAACATTTTCTGATGGTATGCATTCATGATGGACAAAATGTTAAAGATGACCCTAGAAATGGCTGCCGTAGCGAGTGTTGAAATGAAGATGTGAATGACAGGATTTGACTACTGATTGCGGATTGTCACCTGTCACAAATGATACCCATTTCTTCTAATCATCAAGGACACTGTGCATGATGTCACAGATTCTGGAAAAAAAAAGCAAAGCTTTGTGAATGATTTGTTCCACACTGAATGAAGTCAAGCAGTTTATCATCAAAAATCAAGTTACAATGCTTGATCACCCTCATTTGCCAGAATTGCTCCTGCTGATTAGTTGGTACTTCACATTAGGGAATAAAGGGATGTCACAAATGGAGTTGAAATGACACCCAAGTATAATAAGAACTAAAGTCTTACATTTGCCAAGTCTATAGTGGAATACAGAAACTATGATTGTGCCAAGTGATGCATAGACTTAGGAGATATGATGTATGTATCTTAAAGGATAATCAATGAAGGAAATAATTTGTATTTTATATGAAATCAGTTCTATAACTTAGAACATTACACAGTGCATCTACTGTCTCCCAAAATTATTTTCTTAAGAAAGAAACAAGAGTAATAAATTAACTGACCAACTTATTCTTTGATGACTTTTTCCTGTTTATAGGTATTATTGCAGTCTTTCCACACAAGCAAATAAAACAGAAGAAAGACTATTGGACGGCTCTCCTCCAGGCACTTTAAACAATATTGTTCTGAAGATTCTAGTGATTTTTTTTTATGTTTTCAACTGTATTTTACCAACTTTTCTCAAGAAAATTACAAATCTAACGTTGCTCCAGTACTAACATTTCAATTTGTAATTTTCTGCCGAGGAAGGTCAATAAAGTATGGCTATAAGCATTATCTTTATATTGATAATTAAGGTTGTTAATGTAATTAATGTTTTTTGATTAAAGCCCTCAGGGTCCCAATACTAACCTTACATTTCTGAGGTAATTGTTTTCATACAATTTTAGGATTTCTTTCATAGAACAAAATACTAATGCACACACCTGACTTTTTTTAAAGATAATTATATAAACAATCATTTACTCAATAGCAAGGTAACAGTTGAACAATGTACCCAATGTTCTATTTCAAATCAACTTGGCCTAAACCATTCTAGACTAAATGTGTCTGTAATGATTTTGTTATAGATTGTTGTGTTGTTAGTGAATAATTTTATACAACAGCTTAGTACAATGAAGATTGTTTACACAAAAAGGATTTTCTCAACCACTTTCATGATTTGAACTCTACATGTGTGAATCCTGAATAGTAGTCTTAAGCGTGGCTGATCTTTGTGTATATCTTACAACCTATGTTTGTTTTTTGTTTTTATTCTAATTAATGCTAAAAGAGGGAAGAGATTTTCATAGAAAAGGGGAACCCATCCAAATATACCTTTGCAGTTCTCCTGAATTTCACTGATATATATTTTCTTTTTTAGTTGTCACTATTTCACTTTTCTTTTGGTCTTCCAAACAAGATTTCCCATTTTGACTCAGGACTCACCGGCGCTTTCTGTACCAACTGCATCTTAGTCATACCCTATCACTTCTGATGCCCCTCAAAGCCCAGAGCTTGTCCTCTGCACATCTGCCTTCCTTGAGAACGTGACCAAAAAGTGCCGACTATACTGATGTTTGTCCTCGGGGCCTTCTCCACTCTACTGTCTAAATGCTCACACCCACAGAAAGTAGGGCAAGGGTGGAAAGTTCTCAAACTTGGGAAACAAAGGAAAATTGATAGGCTAGGAAAGGGAAATGATAGAAAATTAAAACAAACTATACATGAATAAATGGCATCATACCATACACTAGTCAACTTTACAACTGAAAATAAATAATAATAAACAATGCTTTTTGCCCACGACTATAAATTAAACAGAATTAGATAACCTAATAAATAGGGTATAACAATTTGCAGGGCTTATCACACCAAGGACCAGAACTTTTTTGTAAAAGTTCATTTTTAATAATCATATTTCAAATTTTGGTAAGGATGCATTTCAGGTACAAAGACCCTCATCAGCTTACAAACACATGATAACAATGTAACAGTTATAACACCAATAACCAGCCAATACAACAGAATAACCAACATATGCAGTGCACTGCATTTACAATTTCTCAATGTAACCCATACACTAAAAACTATATTCAATTTATACTTGATATATTAATGACAATGTAGTATAACATACTAAGACATTTACTGGTCCCAGATAATTTCTCCTACATTTTCCAAATTCTGGTAGACTGAACAATATTTATTATTAATAGTGTAAAAGTATATTAAAACACAAAAAAAAGGAAGGAAGCTAACAATGAACTTACTCTTATTAAAATCAATTGGTCTCCAGATTTTAACACACAAAATACATCTGATCTATAAGACTTTGTAAAATGCATTGTGACAGAGCAGTTGACTTCACAAAGTGATGTGACTGTACTCCCATCTGTTAAGCATCTGTTTCAAGGTTAAGTGAAAACGATGTCAATCCACCCCTTATGTAGCTTCAGTCCCATGTTGTTATTAATTCTAATGTCTTCCTGTATTTTCAGAATTTCTAGGTGTTCCTGTTGATACTATCAACTAAAAAGAAGTGTATTATGACAAAAACAATCTTTTAAAATTTCACAACCTTCAGTATTGCGATGTTGTGCCACTGGTCCTTCTTTCTGTTGGCCTTGGTGTGATAATCCCTGCAAATTGTTATATCCTATTTATTCGGTTATCTAATTCTGTCTAATTTGAAAATAAATAGTTCACTATTTCTACTTAACTGAGTTTAACTCTGTTTTCATACAATCTTTTAAGTTTTGAAATAGATTTTAAGGCATTACAATATATCCTACTATGATGTTTTGGATCTTGACCTATTAAATGCCTAAATTTGGATGGAATATGCAATTGCTTTTTAAAATATAATTCTTTCACTGAATTCTGTTTCTCTGTGGAACATCTTTTGATTTTATTTTTTTTTTTAATTTTTCCATAGACAAATTGTTTATGCACAAAATATTTATAATTTTGTCCTTAGGTTTATCCTACAGATTCATCTAAATTTTATCCAAAGTTTTTACAAACCTCTTAACTAAATGTGTTACAAATTTCTCTTGTGAAACTCACGCTGTTGTATAGGGTATCTCAAAAGTGATGTGGGATTTAAATGTGAGAAGCCAAGGGCATAGAATTTGGTCCTATGTCATTTACTGACACACAATCGTTAGATTGGCTCACTTATTTTTTCAGAGGGCTTTAAATAAATTTTTAAAGATCTAGATGGAAAGCTCTAGATCAAGGGTGGCCAACATGAGGCCCGCGGGCCGCATGCGGCCCGCCTGGAGTCATGTTGCGGCCCGCGGAGCTTGGTCAAATGAACGT